ATGATGACAAAAATATTTCGCTGTATTGAACCTGAGCTGAATAACCTTATAGCACTGGGGGACAAGATTGATAGCTTTAATTCCCTTTATATGTTAGTTAAGATGAGTCATCATGTGTGGACAGCACAAAACGTGGACCCTGCATCCTTTCTCAGCACAACACTTGGAAATGTTTTGGTGACTGTCAAAAGGAACTTCGATAAGTGCATTGTAAGTGCTTCAGTTTTTCTGATTAAGCTAACTGTAATAATATAGGAAGCCCACTCCTACCACATTTGATTTTACATTTCTTTATAGTTAAATTCTTGCTTTAAATTTGAATTGAGAATTTGTAACTTTATTTCTGTTCTACTGGCCAAGCATTCAAAAAAAATGGTGGTTGTGTTTCTTTCTTCCTTTCTATTTCAGTATTCTTCCTTAAGTTGCTATTTGTAATAAATAAGSCTACTCATTCACAGCTCTGAGCTGCTTGACATTTTTAGTTGTTCAAATTTGTACTCCCACTGAGATTACTGAAGACCACTAAGTAAATATAGCTGTCTGCCTCTTACTTGCCAAAACCAAACCTTGTGGACTTACAAGAGTGTGAGGTCTTTTGGCAGTAGCAGAGGCAGCCTCTACTCTCTGAAACTTCCTTTTGCTAATACCGTTATTATTTTGAATATGGCAGGTTTAGTGAAAACATAGATGTTGGTATAACTTCGTTTTGTCATAAATGTAATTTGACTCTAGGCAAACATAGACCATTCTTGATTCAGTTTAATGCTTAAAATATTTTGAAACTGATTTTTTTGATTATACTCAGAAATAAAATTTCAGTTGAAGGCTAAAGAAACTTCCTGCAGCAGAAGGAATTGTTAGCTTGGCTGAATCAGAAATGTGAAGTTGCTTGTTAGATTATAAAATGAAAATTGTTAATTGTTCTGGTGCATAAATTTGSGGTTTCTTCATTGGGTGCTTTTTTTTCTTAATAGTAAGTAAACAAAGGAGAATAAAAGCTCATCTTTCCTTTTTCTTTCCAATTAYTTTACTTAATAAATTTTAAAGGGTAAAAAGGGTGAAAGACTAAATAGATGTATTAATTGTAAGAATTATTTCTATGTTTGGATAAATGMCAATTTTTCAGTATGTCTGCATTTTTCTGTTAATAATTGTTACCTGATCTGGAACCTAACATCTGTTCTTGCTTTAAATTAAAGAGTAACCAGATGAAGCAGATGGATGAAGTAAAAATCTCAAAGAAGAGTAAAGTTGGGATCCTTCCATTTGTTGCTGAATTTGAAGAGTTTGCAGCCCTTGCTGAATCGATTTTCAAAAATGCGGAACGGCGAGGAGATCTAGATAAAGCCTATATAAAACTTATTAGAGCTGTCTTTGTCAGTGGTAGGTCTTCCAAGGCTGTCATAATTACTAAAATGTTAAAAACCCACTACCTTGTTGAAGATTTTTGTCCTAGTGAAGCTGAAAGTTCATTTTTCTGTGACTTTGCTTAAATATCTACCATGTGAAATTTATAAGGGGGACTGAAAGCATGCTTCCAGGCCTCCCCAGAATGTGACTGGTTCCTCATATCTGTAAATTAYACCCTACATAGTAGTTACCTTGTATCTTTTTAGAAGTGACTTTTTTTGCCTTACAAAATTCGTGGTCTTAGAGCTTGTATGTATCTGTTATTTCTTTTGAAGGCTCTTAGAGTGCGTTTTATTTAGTGGCAATTCTGACAATTACTCATACAACTGTTAATCAATCACTTGAAATTTAAAAACTCCTTTTTTGATAGTATTATGGTTATTGGTTTTGTATTTCTGAATTTGGTTGTCCTTTTGGTATTTCAAGTATTCTGCTTCCTGTTTCTTTCAGTTGAGAAAGTAGCTAATGAAAGCCAGAAAACACCCAGAGATGTGGTCATGATGGAGAACTTTCATCATATTTTTGCAACACTTTCTCGCTTGAAAATTTCTTGTCTGGAGGCTGAGAAAAAAGAAGCCAAACAGAAATACACTGACCATCTTCAGTCTTATGTAATCTATTCACTCGGACAGCCTCTTGAGAAATTAAATGTAAGTGTATTTGAGTACCATTTAAATGGTACAGAATATTTTTGAATGTTTAGTTTGCACTATTTGATCTCTTTATCACTGCATGTTCGTAGAAATATTTCCTCTGTTTACTAAAATATTTTATAGTTACTGTGTTGAGAAAACTGGTCAATGGCAGTGACGAGGGAGGGCAATTATGAACAAATAGGTTGTTGTATGATTATGGTTTAAATAAAGATGCTCAGGTGCTTATTGAGTTCATCCAAAAGATCCAGTATTTGGATCCCTGGCTATGAGCTCACGAATTGAGGATTTTGAGGCTGATTATTAGTTACAACATTGCAAAGAAAAGCTCAATTGCTTCTAGGAATGACTGATTTCAGTTTTATGCTAGTACTTAGAGTGYTTTAGTGTTGGGCTGTGTTTTAATGTTTATGGCTGGCACTACTTCATACCCAATAAAAAACAAATATTGGGAGAATACAACAGTCATGAAGTAGAATCAAGMCTTAACCACACATATCCTTGTCAAATTAAGATAATTAGCTTAGATTTGTGATATAATTTGTGAATAATGCTGTTACTTGTTGTTAGCATTTTTTTGAAGGTGTTGAAGCTCGTGTGGCACAAGGTATACGAGAAGAGGAAGTGAGCTATCAGCTGGCTTTTAATAAACAAGAGCTTCGTAAAGTTATAAAGGAATATCCTGGTAAAGAAGTGAAGAAGGGATTGGATAATCTCTACAAGAAGGTAGATAAACATCTCTGTGAAGAAGAAAACTTACTTCAGGTAAACTAAATCATGTCTTAAAAACCTGTAACATTTACAGAGAGACTTTTTATTAYCGCTTTAGCATATGTATTTTGTGACAATGTTCAGCATAACTCTGAAAAAAACATTAATTTTGAGTGCAGCTTTTGAGTTTTTTGTATAATACCATTCTATTTCTATTTGTTTAATATTGATTTGAGCCAGAGTGAAGGAGAGAAAATTCAGAAGCTTCCTTTGTGATTCCCTAGCTGACCATTAATGGGTGATGTCTTTTCTACATAATATACTGGAAACAGAACTAGATTTAAATGAAAGGGTAATCTGATGCAAAATTTAGCAGGTGCACTACAGCAGAATACTTTAATTACATATTTTCTGATAGTTTTATTATCTAATGTTTTTCTTACAAAAAAAGAAAAAAAACTGTAAATTTTCTTCCTGGACTAAATGATTAGTAGACTTGAGCAAAGCTTGTTTAAACAGCTTTGAGAGTCTGAAACCCAAATTATAGCACTCTTACGGTTCAGGATGTTTTCCTGAAAGACAAAAGCARTATCTCTATTAGGAAAACTTCTCCATGTTATTTTCTGTTTTGCGCTTTGCACATTTATTACAAGTCACGTCAATATTACAGATTTTAAACTRAATGCAGCAGTTCTGTTTATTGAACTTTATTAGTAATTTTGAGCTGTAAAATGACACCTGAACTGAGAATCAGTTAATGAACCAATGTTTTGTAGTTCATATATGTAGTGTACTGTGCCAGTTGACTTTYCCTAAAGTTTGCTTTCTTTGGCAGGTTGTGTGGCATTCCATGCAAGATGAGTTTATACGACAGTACAAGCACTTTGAAGGGCTGATAGCTCGCTGCTACCCTGGATCAGGAATTACTATGGAGTTCACTATACAGGATATTTTAGACTACTGCTCCAGTATTGCACAGTCTCATTAAATTCTACAAAGGGAAAGAGAAGCTGGCAAAGTGTGTGCCTGTGTATAAGGGAACCAAACACTATAAATAATCTTTTTGGGTTTTAAAAGGTGGATTTCCATGTGTGTGTAGTTAATTGCCCTATTTGCTGAGTTATACTCCTGCTTCAAATACCTTTCAGGGCAAAATGAAACCTTTGGGGTTTTGCTGTACTTCTACTGGGCTGAAGTACTGTTTGAATGCATTAATTCTGTGAAACACTTTGGATACAATTATTCCCTTCCCCTAATATTCAAATACTTTTATTTATAATCCCTTCTCTTGCTCAAAACAGTAAGCACTACCTTCCTAATATGCCAAAAGAATACTACTGTTTTCACTAATATTTTGCATCTTAGAAATTATGTAAGCATTGAAGACTGTAAGATATTTYCCCTTCCTTGTTCTAGAAAGTATGGATGTACAACTTTATGCAGTGGGAAGACGGAATTCATGTTCTGAGATGTAATGTGACTATGGCTCTAATTCTTAGTTAAACTATGTTCATCATATTATTTCTGTGGAGTGTTACTTCAAAAAGGTGAAAATACCTGAAGGAGTTAATTCCATTGTTTCGCTTCTCGTCGTTGAAGGGTTGCTGCACAGAAATAAAGCAACCTGTTCCAGTGTTTCACCATCCTTACAGTAAAGACCTTCTTCCTAATATCCACCGTTTAAGTCTGAATCCTTTGCCCCTTCTGTCACTGCATGCCCTTGCAAAACGTCCCRTTCCATTTTTCTTGTAGGTTCCCGGGGCCGGGCTGTCGGCACGGGCAGCTTCCTCTGCACGGAGGCGAAGCCTCTTGTCCCGGATCTACCGGGGCAGCGGGGCCTGCAGCACGGCCGCTGCTCACCCCGTCYGCCGCCCGTCCCGGGGCCCAAGGAAGCAGGAAGCGTTCCGCCCGCCGCGGGCAGGCTGCCGGGCCGGGAAGGGAAGGGAAGGGAAGGACCGGGCAGGAAACGGAAGGGGCGGGAAGGGAACGAGCAGGCAGGGCCGGGCCGGGAAGGGAAGGGGCGGGCCGGGAAGGGTATTGGGCAGGGCAGGGCCGGGCCGGGAAGGGAAGGGAAGGGGCGGGCAGGGAAGGGAATTGGCGGGCAGGGCTGGGCCGGGAAAGGAAGTGGAGGGCAGGGCCGGGCCGGGAAGGGAAGGGGCGGGCAGGGCAGGGCAGGGCAGGGCCGGGCCGGGMMGGGAARGGRMGKGSAGGGCAGGGCAGGGCAGGGCCGGGCGTTCGGCGGCGCGGACGCGTCCCYCCCGTTGCTGAGGTGACGGACCGGAAGCGGCCGCTACTCCGCGCGCCATTTTCAAAGGTTTTCAAGCGCTGGCACATCGCGGCCGCTCCGCAGTGGCCCCGGCTGCCCCCGCCGCGKTTAGTGACAAGTGTGGTAAGTGTGCTAAGGCCGGCTCGGAGGGAGCGCGGTAGAAGTGGCGTAAACTTGTTTGGAAAGGGACCGCCCGCCCGTCTGTAGGTGCAGGCTGCGGTTGCTGGAAGGTCTTCAAAGCTTCCAGTTTGGAGAGACGTGTGATGAGCAGGCTCATAATCGAAAGGGTTTTTTTGTACTGTAGTGTGAACCTACAGGGTTTGGTGACAGGCTGCCCAGGGTGGTGGTCCCTCTCTGGAGACACTCCAAACCCAYCCAGACGCGTTCCTGTGTCACCTGCTCCAGGTGACCCTGCCTCGGCAGGGGGGTTGGACTGGATGATCTCCAGAGGTCTTTCCAAACCTAACTCGTTCAGACATTCCATGACATTTTAGGGAAGAAGTCTTGTTTTTTCAGGACAAGAGTTGTCTTTCCATTGGCAAAGTGCTGAGACTTCACAGTAAACGTGGTGTTCTACTCCCAGCAAATGCGCTTCGAAGGAGGTTTTCCTAAAGCAAGTGCTGGCTCAGTGGGTGTATCTTCTTGAATCTGATGTTGTAGCAACTACGTGTCACAGCAGAGCCCTCAGAGCCACGCATTAAAGCACTGCAGTAGTCAGATGTCTGGTCGGCTGAGTGCCATTGGTACCTGGGTGAAAACAAAACTAGCTCTTTGTAATGGGATGAGCTGCATGGTCAGTAATTACAGAGACTGGAAAYTGCAGTTCACAGTTATCTTTGTTGTTAATTTTACCGACACAATTAAAAAAAAATAAAAATTATAGCATAAAAATTGGTCTATAGTACTTTCTTTGTGTTCAGTTGTTAGTAATGCGTCATCCTCATGGCTGCATTRTTTCTTCCGTGGTCAAGATCCACTTTTGCTCTGCATTTTTATTATTACATTTTCTTATTGMTATCACAAGTATTGCATCTGCAACAGTTCTTAACCTATACTCACCATCAGTGGGCAGCAGTAATATAGAAGACTTGGATTTCCAAAAAGMTTTTTGAGAGGGTTCTTTATCAAATGCTTTTGAGAAAGTGGGTTTCTATCAGAAATGGAGAAAATAAGCTAGAGGTTAAAAAAGAGTAGAAAGTGCAACCTTACAGTGAATGTGCAGAAGATTRTCTGCYTTTTAAGACTGACTAGTGAKCAGAAAGAATATGTTAAACAGCAAGGAACAAAATTTATTCATTATATGGATGTGTTAAGTGCAATCCAAGGGTTGCAGAAGAGTCCCACTGAACTGAGTAACAAGGCGGGAGTTTAGGAGAAGTGTTAATAAATGCAAATTGGTCTCTAAATTAGTGGCAGTAACCTCAGGAAGATGTGAATGCATCTAATAGATGCTTTAGAGCAAACAGTCCAAGTGTCCTGGTTTCAGCTGGGATAAAGTTASTTTTCTTCCTAGTAGCTGGTGCAATGTTGTGTTTTGGATTCAGCATGAGAATAATGTTGATAGCACACTGTTGTTTTGGTTGTTGCTAAGTAGTGCTTGCTCTCAGCAAAGGACTTCCCAGTGCCAGTGAGGAGCTGCACAGAAAGCTGTGAAGGAACATAGCCAGGACAGCTTATCTGAGCTGGCCAAGAGGGTATTCCACACTATAGAGCTTCATGCCCAGTGTATAAACTGGGGGAGTTACCTGGAAGAGGGGCTGAGTGTGGTTCGRGGGCAGACTGGGCATCAGTCATCAGGTGGTGAGCAATTGCATTGTGCATCTCTTGTATCTCTTGGGCTTTATCAATCTCCCTCGTCTTTTTATTCTTCTTTTTCTACTACTACTATTACTATTATTATTATTATTATTATTATTATTATTATTATTATTATTATTATTATTATTATTATTATGTTATATTTTGTTTTGATTATTAAACTGTTCTGATGGCAATCCACAAGTTTTGCCTTTTTCCCCCTGATTCTGCCCTCTATCCCTGTGACCCTGTGGGAGCATGGGGAGTAAGTAAGCAACTGTTTGGTGCTTAGTTGCAAGCTGGGATTAAGCCACAACAAACACTGATCAATAATGTGAAAGAATGGGTTAAACAGCAGGGGACAAAATTTACTCATTATATGGATGTGTTACATGCAGTCCAAGGGTTGCAGAAGAATTTTAATAGACTGAGTAATGATGCAGGAGTTAAGGAGCTGTGTCAATAAAGGCAAAGTGACACAAATTGTGGTTTCTAAAGTGGTAGCAAACGCTCATAGAGATGTATCACTGTGAATGCATCTAATTGATGCTTTAGAGTGATCAAAAAGGCAAATGGTAAGTTAGGAATCAATATGAAGGCTACAGCCAAGCATCTCTATGGTTACTCAGAGAAAGGTGTATCAGGTACTATTATATTAATTTCAGTTCAGCTTTTGGCCCTGCAAGTCCCTGCATTATAGGCTTATATAAAGAAAATGTGTGTAAAAGTAAGATTTGACTCATGTTTTTTAGGTTTTATATTCTTGCCATGGCAACTGTGAAGATACACAGGATATTGTGKCAGACAGGTCCTGGATTCAACTGAATCAGTGCATCAGTTCATATATTGATTTTATACTTCCAGAAAACCAAATTCTCCTGATGTGGAAGTTACTACATACTTTTTCATGTCATGATAAGACTATTGATAGACTAAGTTTAGGATATGAGATGTAAATTATGCTATTTAAAGTTAATTAATTGCAATAAGTCTGCAATTACTGACACATTTCTTTCCAACAAAGGGTGTACAACAATTATTGTCTTTGAAGACTTTAATATCAGCGTTAAGTTCTCTGAAATAACACCTCCCAATTCTTATTTTCATTCCAGGATGCCTTTTGGATCTCTACTGCAACTGTTCATTTCCTGGGYTTATTGTGGATCAGATGTGGCTCTAGGGAACTCTTTCTGGTTTGATTCCAGTGGCAGTAATGAGTTGAATTTAAAATTTCAGTTTTTAGGAAGGAGAGTGTTTCAACCAGGAATTTGTCAGTACCTCCCAATATTTGAGTCTTTTTAAGTAACCATACTGTAAATGCCYGTTGCAGGGATTTAGCAAGATTATGTATGTACTTCCTAGCCATAGTTACTGACTTTCTAACATATGTCCATTTGTTGTTCTTTGCAGTTATCACAGAAAAACGCCATTCCCGTACAAGTTGTGACAGTTTTGTTCTTGGTATTTCTTTTGTAAAACTTTCTCAGTGTGATTAGTAACAAAATTCCTCTTTATAAAACACAGGCTTTTAAACAAATTCAGTGAGTGAGTTTAAGGTAGTTTAATCTTTTTAASTGATACAAGTTTTCTTAAGGAGAAGATGGGCTCAGGAAAACCAGTTTTTTTTGTAGTAATATAAGATGTATTTCTGAGACTAAATCTAGACACAGTAACACAATCGCTCTTTTCCTGAATTCAACACAGAACCTTCAACTTTAATGCAGAAAAACAAAGAACTTGTCTCTTTTATCTCTAATCTTTGGCTGTCAGGGGAGTATGAGGARCATTTACTACACACCAGGACATTGACATCTGCTTAGCACACTGGTGGAAAGAAAGTGTGCTGCCACCTTCTTCAACCTTCCCACCAYAATATGTAAGGGATTGTTCTCCATGCTATTGCTTAGTTAATATCCCAGCATCATGAACCTCTTCAAGCAAACGGCTTTTTTTGCTTGAAGAGATTCTGTGCTTATAAGACTGGTGATTTTCTCTCATCTATGGAGCAGCACCCAGCAACCACAGGCCTGTTGCTAGACTTCTTTGTAGTGTTTTTATAAAATGAGATTAAATCTTAACTTGGCAGCATTGATTAGGAGAGAAACGTGCACATTTTTCTCACTTTATTATTAATAATTAATTTTGTTTTCAAATACATGCATATGTTTATTTAATACCTTTTAAAGATCTGAGATATTGTGGTGATAGTTTGGATAATCCCTATATTCTGTCCATTTTATATGAGATGCAAACAACACGTTGATTTGCTAGTTTGGCTGCTGAGCTCTTGGCAGCTAATCGGCTAATACTGAAACGTCTGAAGAAATGTGAGGGAAAATGTTTTACAGAAATAACTGCTTTTCAAAAATGTTTCTATTGAAGAGATGCTTTCACATACTGAGAAACATGCTTTAGTCCTTGATGTGTCTTTTCATTCAATGTCTAAATTCAGAAGGACATAATGATGTAAAAGTTCTTCTTCCTTCAAACATACTTGGAAAAACCCAAATTATCATTTGGATTCAGACACAGTAATGTTGATCCTGTTCCATTTAGATCAACTTAGTAATAAAAGGATAATTAACCAGTCAGTTGAAAAAACCCCAAACCTCTGATCCTTCAACTGTATTTTCCAGAAAATGATGCAAGTATAACTATAGTACACCAGTATTTTTTTCCCTTCCTATTTTCTATCATAGAAAATAGATACTGTAAGTTAATCTGTCTTTAACATTTAACACATCCTACAAAATTTTAGATATGGTTGGTGTAAGTTATATTAAGAACTGACTTGAAAGTAAGATTTATATATGAAATAAAAAATTATGAGTTTTTGAGAATAATCTGTCAATTTGTATTGTGTAAGATGCAATGATGACCATGATTTAAAAAAAAATCAGTATAATGAGAAAACTAACTGCCAAGGCAAAAATTTATTTTTAAATTAATATCTAAAAAAGTTTAAAACTTTTTCAGTCACAGTAATCCTCTTTTGACTTGCTTAAATTTTAAGGACATGCTTATGCACTGCATTTCCTACAGGAAAAAAGTTTTCTTCCATTTTTTTTCTGTATTTTACTTTCTTTAAAGGACAGATGCTGTAACCCACAATCTTTTGCAGGTGTCCTGTTTTTCTTGACTCTGATGAAAGCAGCTTTGGAGGTGTGTTTACAATGAGTACAAACGCAGAGCGAAGGTTTGTTAATCTCAGGAAACGTCTGGATCAACTGGGCTATCGACACCCACTGGGAGTGGAGAGTTTACCTTTGGTGGAAAAGCTTTTTAGGTATTAAAAGGAGATTCATTTAAAAAATAGTAATCATATAATAGGTATTGTTTGATTTTTGACATGTAAGGAAGAATGCTTAATCTGAAGATTATTTTCTAGCAATGTTACTTCAGAGCTAACATTAAGTTCCTCTGTATGATGAAGTCACATGGGTTTGCTTAAGTGATGGGARCATCTTAAGATTCAATTTAGTTCAGTAGAATTGCTTCTAAGAAAAATAGAAAAATTCAACTTTTCTAAACTCATAAGAGAGCCAAGGAATAGTCACTGTTGATACGTGCTTAAAAGGACACRTTCTTAGAACGGATTGTAGGAAAAATAATCCCTGTTGCCTGTTCTATGACTTAAAATAAAACATCCACTTCTCCATTTATTGTGACCTCATTTAGAGAATTTTAAAGAAAAAACATCAAATTTTCAGATTGCCTACTTACATCTGCCATTTTGTGGCTTTGACATTATTAAGAACATAGTAATGTCCATAGTGATCCAATTATATTTGGCTAAACATGCAAATGTAGGTGTTATGGGTCTGTTGCTCTCTAGTATGTAATACAGATGGAAGAACCATAGGTAGGCAGATGTGGAGTAATCTGTTTTCAACATYAGGTCTCTTTCCTCTGTCTACCAGATAGTTTTACTCTTTCCATCACTAGTTTTGATACTTATCAGATATAAACTGATATACTTTGTAACTATCTTGGTTTTTTTTGTCCTGTTCTTTCCTATTAATGTTTGTTTAAACAGATGGTTCCTATCTTTGAGTTTTTCTTTCATGAATGTTTTGTTGCCTTTGTTTGAACTTATTCATCCTCCCTCTTAAGGAAAGGGTTTTGTAGTATAATAATAATAATAATAATAATAATAATAATAATAATAATAATAATAATAATAATAATAATAATAGTAAAACATTTGCGTGTGCAGGGTAAAGGCTGATAACATTGGTAACACTGATGCTCCTTTATCCTAGTGACTTAGTTCATACAACTGAGAGCTTGCGCAGAGCAAAATTATCTGCTGGAAAAACGGAAAAAGAATACAGCAATTATGATACTATTTTGGAACCTTATAAAACAGAGAATGCTAGACTTACCAGGGAAAATAATGATCTACATTTAGAAATATTAAAACTGAAAGAGCTGTCTGATCGTCATGTTAAAGGTAATATACAAATGATTATACCTTTTTTTAATYCTTCCATGCCAAAATAAAATCGTGGCTAAATCTTTGATCTGTAGATTCATTTATCTGTACTTACAAGTGAGTCTGAGTGGTCATGGAGTTTGGTGACTTTCAGGAATTAAGGTTCATGCTCAGACATTTCTTTTGAAGTAAAAAATGTATGAAATTCTGCAAATTATTGTTTTAATCAGACATGAGAATGTTAAAAATCTTAACATATACTTTTGTACCTTGAAATAGTACTTGGTAATTGCAAACTAAATTCTGCTGTTAAATGTGCCTTTGTTCCACAAAAGCTGGAACAAAGTTGGGTATTTATTTGTAAAACATTTATAGATATATATTTTTGTGTGTTTGTTCCTAAATATATGAACATATGTTTGTGTATTTAATAATTTTATGCTATGGAAAGAAAATACAGGATTCTTTTTATGCATATTGGGGTGCTACTATGAAAAATAATAGTGAATAAGAGAGATAATACTGCTTTTCTCTGCCTTGAAGATTTGAAAGCTTCCTTAAGGAAGATCGAACATGAAACATCTGACTTGAAATTTTTGAATAACCAATACATGCATAAAATTAAAATGCTGGAAAAAGAGAACAAAGCCAAGACTGAAAAAATTCAGCAACTTCAGGAGAAGAATCTGCAAGCAGTGGTGCAAACACCTGGTGAGTATAAATAGTCACAGATATTTCAACTCTTTCTGGGCTTTTTTGGATCTTCAGAATATAATATTCTTTTCCTCCAGTGAGAAAAGTTGTTATCATAAAACATCCAGTAGAGTGACATTACCCCTTGAAAGTTTTAGCTCTGAATTCTGTCATTTCTCWGCATGAAGTTTCATTTGGTCATCACTTGTATTGGGGACAAATCTGAATGCAGCTGAGATTGAACAGAAGCYAATTAAGTTAAAATGTGACTGCAAAACACTATTAATCAATAGCTATTTCTTTTATTGCTGCATCTAATTTAGTCAGAGACAGATTGCTTGACACTTGCATGTTTTTGACAGGTAATTGATGTGTAGGTGACAAATTCAGATCTTTGAAACCAAGATCTAAACATAGCAAGAATCAAAATATGACTACAAATATTCCAACCCTCTATAAGCCTGCCATATTTAAAGCATGTTTTGATAACTTAAAATGTTTTACATGTTACTTTCAGGTTAATTTCTTTCTCCAGGGTTTCCTTTTTCCTAGTTTTTTTCAGGCTAAGTAGAATAGAATTATTTTGTGAAATTTTGAAACTGTCTTTTTTACCAAGTCAGTTAATTATGTATGTGTTTTCGGCATCTGAAGAAAATCAGTAGATAGCTAACAAAAATTAAAWTTTCTCTTTCTTTTTCCATACCTCTCTGCTACTACTATTTCTGCATACTTCATGTCCTTTGCTTCAAAGATGACATGTTACACTTTTGTCTGTCTTTCTGCATACTTGCCCCTTGGTSGCCAGTCTTCTGGGATTTTTCTACACTACACCATCCAATATTGCATATTCTTATTTAATCATATGATGAAGARTAAATGTTCTGTCTGGAAATAATACTATGTTTTGCTTTTTTCTAAGTATGTTATCATTCAAGCTAACAGCATACTCTCCTTGATAAGCAGTAGAATATGATATTCAATGAAATGACAACCGTCTAGAAGGAATAAAAATATTACTAGATAATACAGAGGTTTAGTCATAAAATAGTCCTTAAATGTGAAAGCCAAATGTCTTTTGTGGTGTTTTAATTTAGCTTTTTTAGTAAGCTAAAGTTTGAACTATAGAATATTTGTGATCTTAAACACTGGGGAACATTACTTGAACTAAGCTTTGTGTGTTTCCTTATTATAATAGTGAACTTCGAGAAAACTGATACTAACCTGCAGGAATGGTGTTGTCTAGAATGTGTGAATTTTATCAACTTATTGCAGAAGGATTAAAATGATTAAACATGCCTATTCCTAYAGAATAGACAGGAAAATTAATTTTGTATTAAAGAAGATCACTCCCTTGCTTTAATTCCAAATAATATGCCTCTGGATTTGGGCTTTTAGGTGGCAGGAAAAAAAGCATTCCCTTCAGGCGCCAACGCATGCAGATAGACCAGCTTGTGCCCCCATCCGGGGTSAGTGCGTACCCAGTGCCTCAGCCAGAGGACCCGTACATTGCTGACCTTCTCCAGGTGGCCGATAATCGGTGAGCAAAAGAGCTTTGTCATTTTGGAGTGTAGGTGTGTCTTTGATTCTTGCTGTCCCACTCTTTTTGATTGACAAGTTAAATGAATCTTCCCCCAGTTGAGTCTGTCACCGGTGACAGTAATTGGTAGATGATCTCCCTGTCTTTATCTTGACCCATGAGCTTTTTCATATTTTCTCCTCTATCCTGTTGAGCAAGGGAAGTAAGAGAGCATCTGGGTGGGGGACTGGCAGCCATACAAGGTCAACCTGCTATAATATCTCAGACAACAGSTTCTGCAATAATATTTTGTATGAACAGAACTATATCTTTTTGAATTATTTGGGTTCAGGAGCAAAGAGGAAATGCTAATATTGACTTGTGTACCTGCAATTCTTCCATGAATTCACATGATAAATATAGTGCTACATTTCAGAATTCAAGAACTTCAGTCAGAAGTCACAGAGCTACAGGAAAAACTGGAGACATCTGAAAGTGGAATGAAAAATTACAGCAAACAGGTATGTTTATGGCATCATTAGTAGTGGTATTATTCTTGTTAATATTATTGTTGTTATATAGGTGTTGTAGCCAGGACAATGGCCTTGATGATTTAAAAGCCTTGTTGGGAAGGCATTATAGGGCTTGTGAAATACARTTATTCAAACTTGCCTGTGTTGAGCAGTTTCTCCCCTCTGCTTTTGGAGACAGCAGCAATGACAAAATACCTGCCCAGTGCTTTTGCTGATACATTTTGTGCATTGAATTTACATTAAATAAGCTAAACTTGACAATCATAGTATAATTAATCTACATTTATTAATGCATAAGTGTTAACTTGTCAATTTGATCTACATGTATCTTAGGATAATTTTTTCACTGCTTGGACTGGTTATTTGTTTTTTAATTTTTGATAGTTAATTTATGAACAACAGATTTTACAGTATTTTAATGATTGGATTGATAAGWTTCTTACAATCTTTAAGAAATGGTATTTGATCAAATGTTCATATGTTACGTCTTTCAAAATCTAGGGATTGGTGGAGACTGTCCTCTTTTTTTTTCTTCACATCTTGGTTTTCCTCTTCAAGTATTTCCTTTCTTCCAGTGACTGGAATTGTCACTGAATTAGCTCCCTTACAAGTTTTTTTCCCTAAATTTAAGTGCTAGTCTCAGTTAAGTTGCAGTGTTCATTCAATTCACTTTAAATTAAAATTGTTTGGTTTTCTTCAAGAATGTAATCTACTAGGAATTGTTTCAGTTTTTCCTTGCAAACTGTGTTTGATTGATTTATTTCTCTTTCAAAAAAATAATGTTTTTCAGAAGAACACAGAATTTAAAAAAAAAAAATCTGGGATAGAAATTGCATTTTTAATTGTGTATCTTTTTACTGAATGTGACACGTGTGTTTATTTAAAYGAGGTGTCCATTAAATTGTGTAAAAGACACCATAGTAATTTTTTTGTCCCTCAAAGGTTGAGATAAGAGACAAAGAAATTGAGCGCTTAACGCTGGCGTTGGATGGTGGGYGTTCTCATGAGGTTCTCTCTCTGGAATCGAGAACTGAAAGTAATGAGAAGCTTATTGCCCGCCTGAATTTACAGGTAATGCATTTATTACAGTTTAGTCAAAATGAAAAATATTAGTGATCAAAAAARCCCACAAAACTTCTAACTCTTCAAAAAATCACTATAGATATAGAATCAGTCAATTTAACTTGCCTTTCTTTTTAGGTGGCAGTGTTTCTTGTCTAAGAAATTTAATTTCTTGTTTTAAAAGTCTGTCAGAAAGATTTTRGTAAAGAATTCGATGAACTCACATYGGTACATAGTATGTCAATCTGAAAGTATTCAGCAAATTTTTGTATGACACTATTTTCAGCAAGTTTAAAAATCCTTTTATTTAGTTAGTTAGATCAGGTTAAGTCCMACTAGGGTAGCAGGATTTACATATTCTTGGGAGGAACCATCKAATTCYCAAGGGGGTTATGAAGATCTTTCCACCACTGAGTTCTAGCTGTCCTGGGGCTATCTGGCCCTCCAACATTCTCCAAAATAATCTCATCCACCACAACAGCAGTACAGCCATGCTCAGTGATCCTGAATTAGTAAGTCAGGCTGAATACAAATTGATTGTACAGAGAGTGAGCCCAGAGCTGCATGAAGCTGGTTTTGCACCATCAAGACTATTTGCTCAGGCTCAGTCCCAATATACCACTTTTATTTGAAAAGAAATGTATGGTTATCTTTATATAGCAGTATTCATGGCTGAGARAGAGCTCATAAAATTGTATTTCTTTTTCAGGTTGATAAAGATTAAGTTCTAAAAATAGAAAATCTTGCCATTTTTAACAGGAGATCACTTTTTTACTATGGATATAGAGATTTTGTGTGCCAGAAGATTGGGAGGAATTTTTGCTACCTAGTTTAGTAATGCATATTAATATTTCAATGAAAAATGTCTTTCAGGTTGAGTATCTTCAGGAAAGAAACAAGGAACTTGAAAATCGCATTCAAGATCTCTTGGACACTAAACAAAATGTTAGTAGTGAGGTAGTGGATTTAAGCAATAAAAATGAAGAACTGTGTCAGGAACTGAATGAAATAGATCACTTGGCGCAGCAGCTGGAAAGACACAAAGAAATAGTGCTTGAGACGGCAGATAAGGAACTGGGAGAAGCAAAGGTAAACACTGACGTGTTAAAAGAGTGAAGGATCTGCTCTTTATATTTGGCCTTCTATTTTCTAATTGCAATGAAAGACCTATTGGCTTATGAAAGGAAGGTTAAAAAGATATCTTTTTTCTTCCAGTTTTCTTAACATTACACTGAATTTCTCACTAAAAGTGGATTAATCACAAGAATTTTGTCTCTTTTACTGTATTGGGTGAGGTGATTTTAGTTAATAGGCAATCGGACTTTGTTGTATTAGCTTAGTATGAAATAAAATGCTGAGATACTTAAAGCTATTGCTAGGTAATGCATATTTACAACAGCAATGCATATGTTTGGAGGGTTTTTTCCTATGAGAAGTCATGCAGTKGATTCATTTAATTGTTGTGCTCCAAAAGAGCATGGGTGTTTATGCCACAATTTTTTTGTGCTTTCACTTCATAGGAGCTTTACTACTTTATTACAAGAATCTAACTATAATTTATTTCTTACCAGAATAGTCTGCATCCTTATTTTTTTTTTGTAACGAAGGGATTGTTATTATTTTGAATATGTAACTCTTAACATATAGGTTAATTTTGGTTGATAGAAAGAAATTGAAAGAAAACATGGTGAAATACAGGATCTACAAGAAACAATAACAAGGCTTAAGTCAGTAAGTAAAAATATTTTCCATTSTTATTTGTACCATTTTTATCATGCTGTCATCGGCATCATTGTTTCATTTATTATAAAAAAAATCAATTTAGCAGTTAACAAGAGAACTTTTGTAGCACCCTGAAACTCTGTTGTAAAAAATACTAATTAATAAATGAAAAAGCTAGAGAAGCTACATCATACTGTTGGAAACATAAACAGAGAAATCTCTGTAGACAGTAKGGCTGACTATGCCCTTATTGTTAATTTCCCTGTTTCTTCTATCTGAAGTTATAATTGCCATGTGTCATAATCATTTTTACCACAAATGAGTTATAATATCCTAGAGGATTTTCRTTGTTTAGAAACTAATTGGCATCCCTTAATTGGCATGTGAAAAATTRTCCAATACTTGGCTCATTCAGAAACAAAGCATAGGGCCCAGATGAAAAACAGCACTATTATCAACTCTTTGAAGATTATACTCTTTCCAGGATATATAGCAAGTTGTGTATTAGCTAAATATCAGTGTATGGTATAATATAGTGTAATGTATAATATRGTGTAATAATATTGTATAAGTAGTGTAATGTATAATATTTGTGTACTAGTGAAACAGTGTTTTGTTTTAGTCAATCTCGTGAACTTAAAGATATGAGAATATGTAATTTTCAGGGCATCAGATTATAGGAAAGATGTGCCAAATGGCATTTGATTTGCTTCAGAATTGCATTGACTGAGATACTGTATTGTAATGTACTTTAACACCAGCGCTGTGACCAAATGCTATTAAAATTATTTATTGCTTTAGTTAATTTTTTCCCATGCTTGCATCCCACTATTCCACTGGTTGGTTTGCTTTTCTTGTTTCTAATTGCAAACAGTGTAAAAAGTAATTCTTACTTTGATTTAATAAAATGCCATATAAATACAATGATGGCCTGCAACAAATGTTAAAGCATAAAGCATGGAGGTCAAACCAGAAATAAACAGTGTTGTATATTTATTTTTTTTTCCCAAATGTCTCTATTGGCCCTTCTAATTTTTATAATAATACTTGTTACTTTAGGAGTTATCCTCTTGTCATAAGGAGAATGAGAGACTAAATAAAGAACTCTTTGGGACAACAGATGATAAAGGGAATCTTGAGCTGTTGTTAAACCAGCTTCAACAAGAGAAGCAAAGGCTGACAGAGAAAACAGACAACTTAGAAAGGAAAGGTAAATCAACAAATGTAGATTCTTGRAAATTACCTTCCTGTAACTTTTGAAATAGAATACTTACCTAATTAACATACATTTAATAATGCTAAAAGACTTTAGATATATGTAAATTAAAAGAAGACTGTACATCTTCAGTCACAATTGAAGTGAAAACTCTTCTCATAGAAAGATATTTTCATTCTGTATTTGAGAAAGTTGAACTCTTTACTGTGATCCCAAAAGATATTCAATTCTATGGCAGTTTCATACAAAGTAATTTCCAAAACTGTTTGATTCTCTGTCTTTGAATAAGTGAATTCAGACTCTGTTTCTTAAGAGATTTATCCATTTAGATCTTGGAAACCTCCAGGGATGAAGATTCCACAGCATCTTTAAGCAACTCATTCTAATGTTCTTCTGTCCTCAGAGTAAAGCATTTTTCACTGTATTGTAATTGCTTGTAGCAGCTAACTGCCACTGTTCCTTACTTACAGCAGGATTGCTGCCTGTGTGGTTGGCTAGTGCGGGTTAATCCATCTCAAATGCAGGTGTCTTTGAGGAAATTCGTGACTTTCCTACAGTTGGTTTTGTTTTGTTTTGTGKTTTTTTTCTTCCAGAGCGAGAACTTGTCCTAGAAATTGAAAGAATGAGATTAGACTATGGTATTGCCCTAGGAGACAAATCTCCATCTCGCTTAGATGCATTTGTAAAGACTTTAGAAGATGACAGAGATTATTATAAGCGAGAATTAGAATATCTTCACAAAATGATAACACGAAGGCCTAGCCCAACCCGCAGGACTGCAGAGAAGGTAAAGCGCCTGCTGTCAATACAGCAGGAAAAATACTGTAAGTACTATAGCAGCATGTAAGAAAGCATCAAATATATTTTCAAATTCAGTGGCATTAAATGACTGTAGTAGTTTTCTAAATTGCGTTCTTAATGCAAAAAAGGAACTCCAATGAACTTGCGTTTTTCTTCCTTGTCATATTTTACAGGAGCATTGATTATTGAATTTCAGTTAATTTAAAATAAAGAGAACTAGATAATAAGCAGCAAAAGGTTGAAATCCTATTGCTCACTGCTTTGCTTTTTCTTTTTAACAGTTAGTTCTTGTTTAGATTATACCACCAGTGCCAGGCTTTTTCTTGCAATTAAAATTATTTTGAATATATTTTTTATGTCTTACTTATAGCAGGAGTTCTTTCTTGGTATTGATTTTCCAGATGTTTTAATTAGCAGATTTTAACATAAATTTATTGATCACTTTTCAGAGTGAAGAGCTTAAATTAATCACCAGAGAAAGAGATGAGCTGCGGTCCATGTTAGACAAATTTGAAAAACACATGATAGAAATTCAGTCCAATGTCAAATTACTGACTGCAGAAAGAGATAGATTAAATGATCTTTATGAACAGGTAAGAAGAAATTGTTTATGGTTAACATTGAAATAGCCAATTAACACTTATACTGTTGGTTATATAAAATGGAAAAGCTAGTAGGATACAACCAAGACTAATAAAATATGTACCTATTTTTATTACTTGTTGAAAAAATTGTGTATTCTAGTTAGTTTATTAGCTGGAAAGCCTTKATAAGTTATTGTACTGGCATTTGATAATTATAGAGATCAGGAAATTATCAATAGAATGCATGAGAAAGATGTGTAAAGATACAGCAAGAAAGCAACAAATGAGTAATTTGTTAATGATAAGAGAACGGTAAACTTAGGCTATACTTGGGACTGTAAAAGAATAATGATTATTTTTACAATGTAAGTTGTCATGCCACTGAGTGATTTAGGGAATACATTTTAATTATCTAGGGAAAAATAAGACTATAATAGCACTTCTRTTGTAATAACAGCATTTTATTAGTGTATACACTGTATTGCAGTCCATGTAGGTAACAGAAAATAATYTTTTAAAGTCTCAGAGTGAACTGAACAGGATGAGAAGAGAGGCAAAGCGCAGTTTAGTTTCTCAGAGCCACGCGGAAGAAGAAAGAAACATTGCACTGACTGACTTTAGAAGACTAATGGCAGAAAAAGAAAGTCTTGGAGAAAAATTAAAGGTGAGCTTTTATAGCTTCATTGCTTACAATGAGGTGACATACAGGGAAGGTTTTTGTGTTTTTAATATAATAATGGAATACAATAATTCCACATGTCTGGCYGTCTGTCGGTTCCCCTTTCAATAACTTGATTCCAAACATACTTTACACAGCTCAGTGAATTTATATTATTAGCAATTATCTTATTATTCTTACTATGAATTACCAAGTTTTCCTATAAACACAGTCCCATGCTGACAGCAGGAGGTAAGGAACATGCTTTTAAGCATTTGAGGGCAAATGTGTCATCACCATGTGTGGAGGACCTACATATGAAGCCCCAGCCACAGAATATTTTTGTGTTCATATTCTCCTTTGAAGATGTTTGTGTGTCGTTGTGGAAGAAATCATGCGCTTCACTCACAAGAGAGAAGCAACAATATATTTTATTCAATATTTAAGGCAATGAGTTTTAAAAATTCAATGGAAAATGCAATGGTGGTTTAACAAGACTCAATGCAAGGTACGCTTGAGTATTTGCTCCATAGAGGCCAAAGTCAGGCAAAACTGGCWGGGAGATCCTTGCACTGAGGTTCAGAAGGGTTTTCTTGCCTTCCAAACTCCTCAGTGGAGTGTGGCTGGATCCATACTTGGTCAATAGTTTGTGTCTAAAGGATTATTGCAATCAGTCCTTTATATCACTTAGCTAATGTTTCATCATTTCAGTGCTCTTACTCCTCACTCACTTGCTGAGTATGAAATGCGATAAAGATTTTCTCAGCCTTGACAAATAACCTTCAGAAGCATTTCTGTGCTCAGAGGGAGATCCTGGTGTGCAGCCTGCTGYCATGCAGTAGAGCTCAGTGGGTGTTGGGCCATCCACTACTCATGGACCAGGATGTTTGACTTATGTTTGCATACCAGCAGTATTTCAGTAGCCACATGCTTAACTAGCCMTCAGATGCCACTGAGCAAGATTAGCAGCCCTGAGCTCTAATCCCAGAGTCCCACTTAAGCTGGCTGCAGTGGTACTTAACTGAAATAAGAGGGGTGAGTGGGTGGAGCACAGTCACAYGTGGTTCTTGTCCTACAAACTGGGGACTGTATGGGCTTTTTCATATTGTCTGRTCTTTAATTACTGTTGCATTTTGTAGCAGAGTATATTTTAAAGGGCATGTAACTGAACCATGAAACAAAAATTCATTGCAATCCAAATCGCATTATTTTTGACCTTCAAAAAAAGTATTTGTTGATGCAATGATTTTCCTATTACTGTAACCTTGACAAGCAGCCCAGGAAAGTGGTGGAATAACTAACCCTGGCAATATTCAGAAAGCCTGTGAATCTGGCACTTAGGGACAYGGTTTAGTGTTGAACATGGTAGTGCTGGATTAAATAGATGGACTTAATGTCTTAGAGATTTTTTCCAACTTAAATGATTCCATGACCATGTGATGGTATTAATGTGCATTAATATTTGTGCTTTGTTGACTTTATTGTGATCAAGAGCATGTGATGTCAGGGAGCCCTGACTTCTTTATCAGTCATTAATATAATGTGTGGAGGTTGTAAAAATGTTTTCAAAATTCAGAAATTTAAAATAGTTTTAATGGACTATTCCCAAGACAACATATATCAATAGTGACTGTATAAATGTTTCCATAGTTTAATTTTACTGCCACAAAAATAAAAACTTGTTATGTATCTGAGTGCATTAGTAAATCTGATCTCTTTGCTTAAATAAGTATGTGCATGCAGTGGTAGAAATGTGTTTCCAGCTCCATCCTTTCTTCTTGTAGGTGACTACCAATATCTTGTATGTGTGCCACTTTGAAATACCTGCACAAACACACTTATCTAAAGCATTTCTAGGAAGTTTTAGAGTTTGTTTAATAATTTCACTGCAGTTGTTCACAGAAGTGAGAGAACAGATAAATAATCTTCTAAAGTTTCTTCACAGATTTAGAGAAAGACCAGTTAGCTTTGTAGTGTGCCTTACATTTTGTAGTTAYTGATAATTTGATAAMTTTATATAAAATGTCTCAGGGCACTAAGCTATACACACATGCAATCTGTAACTCAGTACTACAACAACTTGCAAATATTAATTTGGTTGGGACCAAATATAAATACACTATTTAAAMCAATCTAAACCAGCATCCAAAATTAATCAGTGATGTTATATTAAACTAATACSTTTTCAGCTAATGCTCTGTAGTTTTACAGAGAGCTTTGCATCTGATCATTCATCTAAGAATGTAAAGCAATATTTTCTGAAACATGAAGCTTAAATTACTCTGATTAAATCTAAAAATGTCTGTTGTGTTACATGTAATTCTATATTTCTCAGATTCATCAAGAAGCAGCAAACCTTGAAAAATCGAAGATGCAACGTGATATTTCAGAATTGGAGAATAATATTCAAGGAGTAAGTGTATTTTTAGGAAGTAAGCTTTTGTTATTTCTAAAATAGGATAGACTGTTCCAGCAGTTAATTTTACTCTCTGGTTTCAACTTATATTTATTTAAAAGCCAAGTTATGATAGCTTTTTCCAATAATAACATGTTTGGTTATTTATTTTAAATTGCAGCTTGAGATTGAAAAGTGTGAACTAAGGACTACAGTCTCTCTCCTGAAAGAAAGAATAAACTATTTGGAAAGTGAATTAAAATTGAAGTCCAGTAAACTTGCCCAGGCTTCTGATGATTCTTCTCAATATAAAGCTGAGATTTGTTCACTTCAGTAAGTCTGATATAAAATACAGTGATCTTTCACAGATATTACAATAATTTTGTTTGTTCTATAACTGTGTAGCAGAATTGAGTTCCTGGGAAAGACTRTAAATATTTTAAAATTCACTTGGTACTGCTTGTACATTAAGGAAAAGCAGGTGTAAGTAAGGAAAGCACCGTGGTGCTTTTCACAGCAAGCTTCTCCTGTACTTATTTGATGACCAGATATATTGATAATTTTCATGGCTCATTCTTGAGTTGTTATGTCCAATAACCACCGTGTTCTCTGCTTATGGATGAGGCAAAACTGAAATTTTCTAAAAGGATTTCCAAATGCKGTTTGTTAAAGGGAAGACAGATGCCTTTGCAAACTGTAGCAGTTCAACCTACACTTTTGGGAATTGACATGATCCATAGACAGTCTGTGGGAATTGACCAGCTTGCTTTGAACTGAAGGTTTCAAGTATCCATATGTATTTTTAAGGCTTATTTAAACTTCCAGGATAATTTTTGTGCTCTCTTAAACTTGCTTTAGAAAAGACCTCCCATCAGCTGTCTGTATGTCATAGAACAAGCCTTAAAGAAAGTGAAAACAGTATTGAATAAATCTGGGCAGAAATTTGAAAATCGAGGTGGAAATGAGAGCCATTGATGTAGGAGATCACTACAGGATAAGTAATGCTGTCGATTACATCTTTTGGATGTTTCACAGGGGAAACCAGGGTCTGTGTCTTATCCCCCATTCCCCACCTGAGCAATACTACATTTGCCCTGTAACAGCACAGCACCTGGGTGTTACTATGTACAATTGAAGCAGAGCAGCAGGCCTTGCAGTTCATCCATTGCTCCCAATTGCACAAAGAGGACCCTTGGTTAAACAATTAGTGTATTTGTTGCTAAAATAGTGACATCAATCATGAAAATTAAAAATCTTGTTGTATTCCTTGTAATGTTAGTGTAAATCGTCGATATTGCGAAAAGAAGGGGATAAGGAGTAGGGCTGCAGCTTTTAACATTTGGTTCTGCTTTGTGTGTGGTGGCAATGCTGTGTTTTCCCCTGTCCCTTTTCTTTCCCCCTGAAGTGTTCACTCTGAACTGGATGAGAGCAATCTTTATTCAGAGCCATACTGTGTTCTGTGTTGGTGAGGTTTTTTAATAATGAAAAGCTTCTCTAGCTTCCCTTTTGTGGGTTCCCACTTGAGAAGCATTTTTTCTTGACCCATTTAATAAATAATCCATGTAGTTACTTTTTTGGGGTTTTTGTTTCCCTAAGTCACTTTGATTTTTCTTTCCAAGAAAAACAATAGTGTAGGTAGATGATTTAATATATCSTTTAGGTCCTTTATTTTTTAAAACTGGAATCAAAACTGTAGCTGTCAATTTGGTTGCTTCTTAAAATGTGTTGTGGATGATAATCACTGCTGTGAACTATTTATCAAAAACTTTGTAAAGCAAGAGTCAAAAGATACAAGTAACGTGATGAAGAGTAACAGAAATCAGAGGAAGTGAGTATTTCAGGTTATCATGGTGGCTCCACCGAGGTCACTTTGCTCCATTTTGCACTGATGCTGAGGTGGACTTGCAGCAGGGGTCCAGAGCAACCAAGTGGTCTTGGCCTCAGCAATCCTTAAGTCCTCCCTCTCCTCAAGGGAGAGAGGAGTGGTTAGTATGACACAACCCCGTGCTGCTGGGTGGTGACACAACCCTGTCTGGAGATTATGCTGGAATGTTCCAGCACTTGAAGCAGCCTAAYAGCATAAGTTGAAGACCAGGAGTAGGTCCCAAACTTCTTTCAATGGTATATTCATACTGATTTTCCAGGATCTTAAATGACCAGCTCCAGAGGTCTGTTGAAGATTTACAGCACCGACTGTCCTTCAGAAAGGATGAACTGCAGGCAGCTCATGAAGAAGTTAGAAATCTAAAGGAAATAATAGGTAATCTATAATTATTTCCGTGACTTTTTTCCTGTTTCTAAAATAGAAAGCACTTACTCTTTTCATTTTAGATACGTTAAACCAGAGGAGCAGTTCACAGGATGAAGCAGTCAATGTGCTGAGAAGTACAATTACTGTTTTGGATAAAGAAAAAGACAGTCTTCAAGAAACTGTAGATGAAAAAACAGAAAGAATTGCATGTTTAGATGACAACTTAGCTAACAAGGTATGTCCAGTAAAAGCACTATTTTGCGTTCCACCTGGGGATTTTTAAAGCAGATGTGTTTTAGGGAAACGTTTTGCCTAGATGACAAAGCCTGTGCAGAGCACATAAACACTATGTTTGGACCCAGCCAATGCAAAGAGTCACTTGCCAACTCAATAGCACTTTAATAAGAAATTAATGTTACTGTATTCCCTAAACACTCCCAAGAAAATAAAGAAGTATTTGTTTCCATTTTGCATGTGGAAGTATATATTGAAATATAAAATACTAGTCTGAAGTGACAAAATCTGCAGCTGACTTCCATCTTTTTTGATGGCAAGACAATCCTTTCTCGGTAAAGAAAGAAAACTTGCAAATTCTTTATTGAACAAGAATTAAAATAAAGATTTAAATGAAAACATTCTTTAATTTGAAGTGTTCTGTTATGTTGCAATATAATATACTTAATACAACTTTTGCTTTTTTGTTYATAGGAAAAAACAATTACTCATTTACGTTTAACTGTCTCTGAGCTGGAGTCCTCAACAGAGTAAGTAAAGAGTAGCATGCCTTCTTTGGAGGTTTTGTTTTATGTAGTAGTTTCAAAGTGAGAGTAGATGGCTGTTGCAGTTATTTTGTTGAAATTGAGTTAATTTCATTTGAGTCAAGCAGAGGAGTGTACTGTGTTGAGAAAGATTTACTCAACTTTTGAAGACACTTCCTCTGCAATTATATTGCAAGCTGCTAAGCAACTGTTATGATGATCATTAACAATTGCTTTTCTGTATTCATTCCCTCAATTGGTAATATTTCTTAACTATTAGCCAAGAAGTAGCTTTCTAGCACTCCGCTAGATATACTTAGATTGACCCAGGTAAGATTCAGATTCGAATTCTTAATGATTGGCAATCTAATTTTTCCAGTTTAGGCTACCAGTACAGTCTTAATTAAAAAATATTTTTGTAGTTTTTAGCTGGGCTTCCTCTGATCTTTCATTCTTTCCTCTTTTTAAGCATGACTCTTTAAACTATATCTTCCTTAAAGAAAAAATTTAAACACCAGTATTTTAACATTTGAAGACCATTGTAATTGGATATTTGCTACTTTGATGCACGAGCTATCTGTGACAAAAAATATTAATGCAAAAGTTTACTTAAATTTACACATATTTATATTTATAATTTTTTGTTTAATCTTTTCATTACTCTTTTGGTAGTTGTCCCTCAACTGTAAACTATTTATCTTCTTTCTTTATGGCTTATAAAATATGCAATTATTGTAATCACTACCAAACACAGATAAACGTAAGTATCTGTAATTGCTCTTTGCCTAAGAAGATAAATCTTACCAGATACATCTTCAAAATTGAAGATGAAATCCATTGTATTTCTTCATATTGACATTTTACATACTTGGTTTACAATTATGTTTAGACTCAGTTTGTCATCATTCAGAGAGCAAGAATTTTACCTGATCATTTTCAGCAGTGTGTGCTATAATACAAGAAGGGACAACTTTAAAAATGTTTTCACTTCATAGCCAAATGAAGGACATGCTGAGCAACAGAGACCGTGAGATATCCAGCTTACATCGCCAGCTTGATACATCCCAGTTAGAGCTTGCAGAAATGGGAAGAGTAAAGGAAATGGCTCTGAAAGAAAACAGACGACTGCAAGATGATTTGGCTACAATGGCCAGAGAAAATCAGGTATGAAGACAATACATGATACAGATGTATCAAACCATTTATTGCTTGCTTGCATCAAAGCTGCTATATCCTCAATTTTGATTGCTATCTTTAATTATTGATTTTTCTTGAGCACTGGGATATTGAAAATCATTGAGCAGAAATTGTAAAAGCAATACTTCAGATACTTAAGTGTAGTCGAGGCAGTGGGGAGAAGTAGACAAGCTTTCAGTTTGGTTACTTTTCCTCAGATTAAAAAAGAAATCTAAATAAAATTAATCTAGGACATTATTGTTTTTAATATAATGTATTTATGTTAATTGGTTATATCACTTGGCAGTTGGTATTTAATTGGCAAAAATTGGGGTTTATTATCTGTGGAATTGATAGAGAGAGAGAAACCCCAAAAGCAGACATCAGATTGTCAGGTGAAAGTAAGAAAGAGAGGAACGAGATTGCTAGCACATCTGAATGATGGATAAATACCTTTTCCTTGTAAAGTGCATGTTATAAAGACACAGCTTATATCAGTTGTAGAATTAGAGTTGCAATAAAATCTTTATTCTCTTCAGAAATTACCTTTTCTTGTAGGGTATCATTGAATATTTTATTGAATTATGAGCTATCCGAAGTTGATGTAGGTTAAATAAAAATTTTGCAAGACAGAATAGTTGAGAGATTCAGTGGATTAGACTGTTTGATTGGCATAATTGTTATTCTTTCACATCTTCATCTTGAGCTGTTCCACAGGGGTCCTCAGTTCAACTAACCACTAGTTTGCTCGTTCTTTCAAAAGTGTAAATGACTTATTAGTGTATCACCATTTGCACTCTTTGAAATCCTTATTGCTCCATCTCTTCTTCCTTGGAATTGTCTGAGTCTGGGATCCATGGCTGGGACAGTCTGGAGTACATTCAGTCTGTTAATCCCTCGCATAGTTGGAGGAGTTGGTTTTGTGCACCAGCTGGTTATTGCTGACCAAAAGCCTCCCAGCTCCAAGTGCATGACATGGATGTCCCTGTACTATAGAATATCTGTATGGAAAATATATAACAAAAATGACCGTGTTTTATAGGGTAAGTAACATGTTTCATTGAGCTAAGCATTAGAAAGTCTATGTAGAGGTTATGTGGGTGATGTGAGTGTGATCTGAAGAGCAAGCCCAGAATTTTGTTGCAACTCATTGCATTCAATTTGTATAGCAAATACAATATTGTAGCTCCTCAGAGACTCAAATGCATTTTATGGTTTTGATTCTGAGATACAAATGTTTCTTTGAATTTGCTGTGAGTGCCAACACTAAAAGCAATCAAGGCCTTGGTAACTAAATGATTTAATTCCCCTCAGTCAACCCAGCTGAGTCTGATGCTARTATAATATAGTAACATGTTTTAATGAAGTGATGTAGGACCTTGAAAAGTTCTTGCAAAACCTACAGTGCAATATATAAATATGTGGATGTATTATTGGAATTAGACCTGCCCTTCACAGGTGTCTAATAAGATGAAATACTGAATATTATCATAACATGATGACTAAAGCTTTCCCTGTGTTTGGAAAGGCTACCACAGAAATGAGCAGACTGATTTCAGCATATGCTAAGTAAGGCACACAGTGATAAAGCTATCAGAATGAATATTAACATACCACAAAAAATAGAAGGGGAAAGAAATTGCTCCCACGTGTGATCATGGTGGCAGAAAAATATACTTGCAGTTGTGGGTCTCTTGGCTAGAGGATTCAGAGACCTGAACCTGAGAGGGACAGAGTTAGCAGTTCAAATACCTCAAACAAATTCCATGGTACATTTTGGATGTCTAAATGTGATCTTASTAATGCATTTTGTTATTTTATCTTGCAATTCTACTTTAAAAATGTCATTTTGTCATAAAGTTGGCTTTCTATTGATCTAAAACTTTCCTTCACTCAGAGATAGCAGATCTATAGGCTATAGATTTGAGGCTATAAAAATTCCAGCTTCCAAGCATCACTGTGTTGAATTTTCCAGAGATCAGTAGGGTATGTCAGGGGGAAGCTGCATATTTTATGAACTGGTGTGATAGTCATTGGTTTTTGTAAGTATTCTTGCCTGAAAACTCTGTGGTGTATCTAAGTTAATAGGGAATATTTYTGAACCCTACAAACTCCAAGTAGCTTTGTAAGTAGAAGAGAAAAAAAATCTAGGGCACATGCAATTACTTTGATTTAATCTGATAGAGTACTATATAGTGATTGATTTACTGCAATGCACAATTTTGGCTTTATGCACCCTCTTAGGCTATCAGTACCGAGCTTGAAGATGCAATACGTGAAAAAGAAGAAATGAAAACCAGGGTTCATAATTATATAACTGAAGTTTCCAGATTTGAGAATTTGATAGCTTCAAAGGTAAAAATATAACCTGTAGGCAGGCATTACTGCATTTGATAAAACAAAATTGCATGGTTTCGGTTGTCTTCTCCTGCCTGCCCCATTTCCTTCTTTTATTTTTCCTTCTTTTCTCTGCAGTATTTCAAGCTGCTAGTGGGGGATTTACATAACACCTTATTAGATCTGAAGCACTGATTAATTCTAGCATATCACAATTGATAGTGTTTCAGTTGGCCATAATACTGGAGAATGACAAAYATGTCATGCTTGAATGTTATTTTGCTTTTTGAGTTTTGACCAGGTAACCAGTAAAATAACTAGTACAGTTTCATGATTGTAGGCAGCAAGCAGCTTATACAATGATTTTAAAAATTTTACCCTTTTGGAAAAGAGAAAATTTTATCTGTAGTTCTGCATAAAAATAGTACGGTTAAAACAGTGTTCTGGTTAAATGTTCTTTATCCTGATATTTGGATTTGAAAGTGTGCTATATGTAAATTAAAACTTACATTCATTTAAAACAAATGGGATTTGTGTCAAGACAACATGAACTGACAAATTTATTGTATGATTTTGAATTGGGAAGAATGAGTTTTGATCTGACCTCAGCATGCATGTCTAAATGAATACATGTGAATTCAACCACTTTTTGCAAGTAGAAACTGAAGCATGAAGAAAAAGGTCAGCACTATGTTAGCTTAGAACTATCAGTTTAAAACACTTGARGTTTACTTTTTAAGAATTTTATGTTATATCATATGTCCAAAGTAGTTGAGCTACAGATATGGCTACTACATCTTTGGGAAATGAAAATTGAGTTATTGAAGTCAGGTACCAGAAAGCTGTAGAATACACAGACTGCAACCAATTATGACTGCTTGATTTCAGGGATTTTTCTACTATCTGGATAATGCCTGTGGAGGCAAGTATTTTCTTTTCTGCACAGTGTCCACTTGCTTAATCACAAGTTYCTATTTCCTGATGCTCTACCTGATCCTATCTGCACCTTTCAAGTTCTGCAGAATACATAGAAGGAATTTCAAAACCAGTAGCCTTTCTCATGAGATAAATCTGATTTATACTACCAACGTGCATATCCCACTGCACTTTATGTGAGCATGAGAGAAGGGAATGGAGGTAAATAAGAGAAATATAACACTGGCTTATAATATGCACTTGGTCAAACTAAATTCGCAAGCAACATTTGTTCTGTAACTGCACGAATGGTGAGTACTAAAGCTTGCGGTTCTGTTCTTCTGTGGCAGACTGCTTAGGTGTATATGCTCAAAGAGATTACCAATGTTTCAGGCACTGCTGTAATACAAATATTTGTAAGAGCATGGTTACTAAAAGAGCTGAAAATGGACTCCTGCTGGAATTTCTTGGAAASGACAGCACTCAGTGTATCTCAGTAACATAACCCTTAACAATGCAGAGAGATCCAAAATAACCCCTCTCCTGGGAGCCTTAAAACTCATTAACAACTTATAAATTAAGTACTTCCATTCTAATAAAACTGAATGTCATCACTGTATTTATTTCCTTTTTGGACTTGGGAAAGGGATGATGCCCTTTAGTAGTTGCCAGATAGTGGGATTAAGAAAATGAAGGGAATTCTACTTTCTGGGGGCGGAAAAAAGGAGAGTTTCTCTAAGCAATAGGCATGAAATAAAATCAAACAACTCAAGGATATGTTGATCATTGCAGAGTGATTTATTGTTTCATTAGGAAAAAGAAAATAAAGAATTATTAGAGAAGTTCCGAATGCTTCATACAGAAGCTGAAGACTGGGAAATGAAGGCACATCAAGCTGAAGGAGAAAGCAGCTCAATACGACTTGAACTCCTTTCAGTAGATACAGATCGGAGACATCTTCGAGAGAGAGTGGAATTTCTGGAGAAAGAGATTCAAGGGGTAAAAATTCGTGCAATGAAATTCCATCCAGGAAAGTGGGATACATTCAAGTACTTTTGAATAAACTCAATGCATGATTTTTAACACCTTAATGGAAAATAGTTTCTATATGTGAATGTTTCAAATATTAACACTTGAGTTTTTGAAAGAATAAGTGATTTTGTTTAGATGTGTTTTTCTTCTCCCCTGCTTGCCCAAAATTAGAATCATGGCACATATTTTCAGAGTTTTAGATCTGCTCTGTTGGGTTTCATTGCTAGTGACGTTGTAAGAAGCTTGTGTTTAGTTGCTTCAGAATGTTTGCATATAGCTTTATGAATATTTTGCAAGGTTAGTTGTACATTTCTTTGAAGCTTTGAATTAAGTATTTGAAGAATTGGTGGCTGGAGTCAGGGTAAAAATCTGGTAGACATTCAAATTCAGAATCAGGATTTCATACTACTGAATCCTCGACCAATATCATAGAACACAATGAGGTTTATGTTTTAGAAGCAATAGCTTCATAGAGATCAAAAAGTCCTAGARCATAATTGTTGTGGGTTGACTACATTTTGTCTCATACTTTTAATTAGCCAGAAAGAGTTACAGACTATATTGTAAGCTGCATAAAAAACAGATTGTATGTTTGGGGTTTAAACTTTTTCATTCTCTGAGGCTGAAATACAGCCTTGTTCCACTCTTTTATAGTACTTGTGTAATTCTTCAAGATGGTAATTAAAAATTGCAGAGATGGTTTTTTATTAGTTGCCCTTAGCTGTGTTTTAGGGAGCGGGGAGGAATATTGCATTAATTTTATAGGGAAAGTTAATTTTGAAGAGAAAATAAAATATTAAGAAAACACAAGTTATTCAACTGGAAACAAAACTTTTGACACTGAAGGTGTATCCACATTTGGTTTTGTTTAGCATATTGTTGCACATCAAGTATATGAATCTCAGATCTCCTCCATTACGAAAAATATGTCCAGATTGGAAGAGGATCTTAAACGTGAAAATCAGGATAAGGCTTCTGTGTTGGCAGACCTGACTTCTGTGAGGGAACTCTGTGTGAAACTTGAGGCTAGCAAAGAACTTCTATCTCGGCAGCTGACATCTAAAAGCATCGATTATGAAAGGGTAAGCAGCAAACGCAAATTTAACTTGGTATAACAATGAAACTTCCTTTGCTTTGGATAAAAGGCTTCTGAGAGCAAGGTAAGTTGATTTACGTCACTAGTTTTACATTTTTATATAAATTATAAATTTTACAATATATAGATCTGTATCTGTGGGTTACAGATACAGAGGGAGTACAAAAAGAGGGAGGTTTTTTGACTCATCAATGCAAAATGTTACGGGTGTAGTTTTAGGTGTACCACAGACAGATTTCTTTTTGGTTTTTAATTTACTCAAACTTTATAAAAAGCAAATAGTGCACTTCTTATTTAGATATTAAAGACCTTACCCTAATGGCTTCTTTTCAATTAAATTGTAATTTAGATACAACTGAAATGAATTGAATATTTTGAAATCGTTTAAACAGTTCTAAATATTCATATTTTCCAAACCTTTTTCTTTGCAGCTGTATTTGTCTTTATTTAGTTACTTGGTCAGGCTTTCTGGAACTATAATATTCAAGACCTTGAGAACAGTRAAATTTGTTCATATTCACAGAACTGAAGAGGAAAACAACTATTCCTACATTTTCAGCAAAAGCCAAGAGGCTAATTGTGAGCTAACCCAATCAAATAGAATGAAGAAGTATAGCAAATAATATTTTTGTACTTTTCTAAAATTCTACTGTTAAAAGCCAATTTGTGTTCCAGGTACTTACCTAAACATTTCCAGCACTCAGTAATTCACCTCCCAGTGAAACATTTGATAGATGTACAGCTTGAATAATTTTAAATTAAGTATAGTTTAAAATAATTGTAGGCTTGAYATTGCTTTGCAAGTTCAGTTTCCTATTATTTTTTGTGAAATTTCCAGTCATTTCGGTTTTTATAACAGCTCTTCATAAAAGAAGACTCTGTGTTTGTAAACTATGTATTAATGACRTATAAAATTTGTGCCTTAGGTTCTAGGAGAATTAGAAGATATAAAATCAGAAGTAGAGTTGCTGAAAAAGCAGCTATCCAGTGAGAGACTTACTGTTCAGAATCTTGAAACATTATTGGCTACTAGTAGAGACAAAGAATTTCAGAATCAATTAACGTCCAAAGAGAAAGATACCGAAATTCAGTTACTGAAAGACAAGCTAACATTGGCTGAGAGCAAACTGTAAGTTTTAACGAGTGTATGTGTGTGTTACGTGTTTTATAAATTATTATTTCTATGTGACAATAGTTATTCGTAAAGTCTGGTTGTTCACTATGGCTGAGCAGATTTTTGCAGCAATGGCTTTTGGCCTTTCATGGAATCGTTTACTTAAAGTTTCTTTACAGGTCTTTCACATTGCTTTCATTAAGCAGCGCTTTTGTGGACATCAGTTTAGTGCAAGCAATAAACTTAAACAGGACAAAGGAAACATCCTGTAAATAACATTTTAACATGTGTTTACTGGTCACCAAAAAACCCCAAGTATATTAAATTCATGGTAAATGTCAATTGCTTAACTGCTGAAGATGCCTGTTGTCCTTGCTTTGATTAAAGAACGCTTACATAATAGTGAAGTTATAGAGCTTTAAAAAAAGCAAAAGTACTCTTGCTGCTGTTGATATTAACTATTAAGAGAAATGTCCTGTATCACTTATTCCTTTGAAATACAAACAGAACTAAACCTGACACCTACACTAAATGTGGCCAGCAGCTTTTCATGCTGTGGATCTGACTAAAGAAGAGATAACTTTTAGCAACACTTGTATAAGACAGACTAATCTGTTTGGACTAACAGAGTTAAGAGAGGGAGGTATTTTGTGCATGTGAAATTYATGTACAAGATGACTGGGAGATTTAAAAATTTTTCTTCATGTTATGGAGCAGGAAATCTGAAGTTTTCATGATGTGTCATCTTAGAATTATTTGGGTTGAAAAAGACAGTTAAGATCATCAAGTCAAGCTGTTAAATGAAACCTGCCAAGTATTGTGATGTGATAATTCTCCTAAGGATWCACTGGCAGGGACCAGTGGTAGCTCTGCATTAAATAGCAAGAAGGAGTAGTAAGTAGCAGCTGAATGTAGATGGTGATGAAGAGTAAAGTYAGAGTAATTTCAGACAAAGAGATATAGCCATTTAGTAAACACTGACATAGGGAGAGAAAGGAAACATATGGAAGTTAATTGAACAGGTAATACTCCTTATAAGATATAGAATATAGCCCACTTAAACAGGTAAAAGTGTCTGCATCTTGGTGACACAGATGTACAAGAAAAATGCTTTCAGTTGATTTATGTAGAGGCTACAACTTGTGGCTTATGATGGTCCAGCCCAAGGGGCAGTGATCTCAGTGAATCTGGAGATGATGACATTATTTATTGTGCACCTAATTGCTTTATGTTTTAGTATTGCTGATATTTACTTGGGGGAAAAAATGTGAATTCCATGCAATGAACATAAGCTAATGGAATGTCCTGATTATGAAGTTCAATGTGAAAGTTAGAAAAAACACAAACCAACAAAACTCCAAAAACAAGCAAACAAAAAAAAAACCAAACCAGAACAACAATAAAAAACCAAAAACAAAAAACAAACAAAAAAAAGCAACAAAAAACCCACACAAAAAAAAGAGGAAAGAGGGAATTTTTAATTTAAATTGAATTTAGTTACTTCGTGTAAAAACGTTCTAAAACTCTGTTTAACTAAGTACTTAGTAATTTTTTAAATATTTTTCTTTTGCACACATTTTAGGGCTTGTTTGTGTATTCGCAAGTGTCAATACTTGCAGTGTTAATAGGGTGGAATATTGCAGGAAGAAGGAAAATGTTCTCTTGGAGGAAGAGTGGCTGTTCTACTGAATTGTTTTCCACTATTTATAGCCAAGGTTCTTCATGATACTAGGCAAGTGTTCAGGTGTGAGAACTAGTTGTATATACCTTATTTTCTACTATTTGGTTTGTGGTAGTTGCAGTCCAAAGAACAGGAACTTTAAATGCTCACAACTGTGACTGAACTATGTAACAATTATGTTTGGGTCTTGCAAAATACACAAATTTATTTGGCTTGGCAGAATTTCAGTTCTAGCTGTCAAAAATTATGAGCCAATATTTTTGAATATTATTTAAAGTTTTAGCTTATAGTGCCTCTCCTTCCACTTTATTAAGAAAATGGCACTGCTACAACCTGTGATTTTAGAAGTATTCTCAGAATCAAGTTTAGCTTGTGAAGTTCTCCAGTGCTGTAATTATGAGTTCTCTAAGGAGTAAGCAGTTGTGCTACTTCGGGTGATAGTACAGTAAATGAGATCTTGAGTCTTAGAGTGATTAGAAAATTAAATAATCAGAGAATATGRAATAGCTAAACTACTTGTTGAGAGCTATGTGTATCTACTGTGAAAGAGACAGATGTCTTGTGAAAATAGTGTATCATCATGTAAATTTAAATGATGATTGCTGTGCATAAAGGATTTCAAATCAAAATATTTCTAAACTTTTGGATTATTTACCTAATGCTCTTAATTTTGTTTAACTGTCATTGACATGGAATAACCTCAGAACTCACAAACTGTTTGCTTTCTTTCCTTATTTTACAATAATGATATTGGTGCCTGAATCCTTACCTCCAACCTGAAAGCGTATGCATGTCTTTGAAGGACTTATAAGATATCATCAAGATCTCTTGTCTTCTGCATCTGTTCTCAACATACTGGATCAAGATAMCATTCTAGGAATTTTACTGATGAATAGGGAACATGGGAAAAAATATTCTGCAGTTCTATTTGGAACAAATCCCTTGAGTAGTTTTCATCTTTCTGGAGTCAAAGACCAGCGGGTGCCAGACAGGAAGTCTGTGACTGACCTGGGAGTGGAACTCATTTTTCAGAATTCCAATCCAGTGCTTTAGCAATAAACTAGTACAACTTTGCTTCTCCAGATGTGACTTTTGAGCACTCCGCCTCATGCTGGCTTTAAAGACTGTATGGAATAACAAATCTGTCTAGATTCTCATTTAGACAACTTATTTTGCATGCAACGATTTCTTTTTCTTTCTTTATAATGTAATTAATGGTATTTTGCAACTAAGCATTGAGTTGGCCAAACTGATGAATTACTAAGAAGTATATAAATTACGTTTTTTAAAAATTTCAAGGCTCCTTTTAATTTTGATTCTTACGATTGAATCAGTTTGGCCCAAACACCAAGGGTGTCGTTAACAAGCTTTCAGACTCTGGGTTTTGCTGGTCTGGTATTAGCTTTAATCCAGTTTTAACTTAGATTCAGTTATGTGTATGGCTAGCCAGATAGTTCCAGCCTACTTGATAAAATTTTTACTGAAGCCATATCTGTTATGTTTGTATGTTTTTGTGGATAATTACTCATTTTTTCTTCTTTTTTCTTATAAAGACCATCTCAAATTGCAACAGAGGACAATAAATCAATAAACAAATGTTTTAATGGTTTTGTCTGTTTTTATAAAATGTGTTTGTGTTCAGCTTTGAAAAAGAACATGATGTAGTCAGGATGTAGTGAGAGGCTTGCCAGCTTCTCACTTCATTCTCAGCTTAGGTTCTTCCAAAAACATTCTCTTGCATTCATTTGGTTCTTGCTGCCTCTAATTTGTATTTGATTTAGTCTGTGAAACAGCAGGTTCAGCTCTGGTTTTGTTTTATCTTGCTCTGACTTCTCTAACCKCCAATCTGTGTTCAAGAAAACTTTGTTGCTTCTCATGATTTTTTTTTAGAAGCAGCAATAATAGAGAGGTTTCCATACTTCGGAGTAAAGTTGCCCAGCTGCAGACTGAGTGTGATGTTTTAAAAAGAAAACTGACAACTGAGCGATTTGAACGGTGAGATGCTGTTTTTTCAGTGAGTTGACTCTCCTTCCTTGTTTCTTCTTTCTCACTTTTAAAACTGTTGCTTTTTTCAATGTTGAGGAACTTCTATGGAAAACCGTTCCTCTATCATGCAAAATCGAATATTTTTATATTGAAAAAAGCCTAATTAAAAAAGAAAATATTTTATACAGCTTCTGAATTTCCTCATAAGTTTTGTGAGTTTACTACTGCCTCTAAAAATAAAAAAAAATCCCTTCTCATGGAAACAGCAGTAGAATTGAGTGACTTTACAAGAAAAGGAGACTTTTTGCAAAGTTCTATTTTGTTCCTTGAACATCCTGCAGTACCAAARTGTTCTGTAACCGAGTTGCTGTTTGTTGCAGAGAGCGAGCAATTCAGGAGATGCGGCGCCACGGCCTCTCCACATCCTCTTTACGGGCTTCACCTCCCCTCAGCTCCACATTAAGGTCTCCCTCGCATTCCCCAGAGCGCAGCGGTGCTAGAACAACTGATCAAGCAGCAGCTGAGAAGTAAGTGATTTGATTTTAGCAGGTCATTCCTAATTAAGAATTAGGTTTAAACTGTATCTAAGTAACATCTTTGTGATTATATGAAATGGTTACACACTTAGATGTTTCTAAGTTCTGCTTTTGCTGTGTCTCCTACTATAAAATATTGATTGCAACCAATAAATGCAAAGTGCTCTCCAAAGACCATATAACATAATGGATTCTCAGTCCTCTTTTTGTTAATGGTCTTGCACCACCTGACAACTTTGAAATATATGTTGCCTGCTTATTACTACCATTAATTATATCCAAATATATTTTGCCAGTTTGTTGCTGTTAATAGTTATCTCCAAACAATGAACAGTTCTTGTTAAGAGGAATGCTATGAAATTCTCCCAAGTAAAGCAATGAAGGAAAGGTACTTCACAGAAGGGTCCAACTAAAATGTATTTGAACCCTGCACATTAGATGAAACTGTCTCCAAAACAAGTGCATAAAATTATTTAATACATTTTTCATTGTTAGTGCTTGATATCTCTGAATGTCTAAGATGGCGATCGCTATAGTCCATAACAAAGAAATCAGAATCAGCCTCTTACCTGTTCATTTTCACTGACATTTTTGTTCTTTTAGAGATCATTGTTGTTTTAGAAGATTTACAGGCCTGTTTATTGACTTTATATCCTTCCTGTCTTACATTGCATAATAAATTGCAGTGAAGAGGGGAAGGACAGGGAGAGATAAAGAGTGATTGTTGTAGGAAATATGTGTGCTATAACAGCTCATGAATYTAACTAAATAGATTTTAAAGTTTATTTTTGTTAGTAAATACACATGCTTATTCTAAGCTTATTTTTGTTAACAAAAACACAGGTTTCTCAAGAACTGAGATCAGCATGGCATGAACCCACATTGTCAGCAATTTTTCTCTTCTATAAGTTTTTGGGCAAAGCAAAAAGTGGAAACTGTAGCAAATGAGGTATTGACAGTAGGGATGAAACAGCAGTTGGGCCTTTTGTTTTACTGGTGAGCCCTTAGGCATACTCAGTTATGTTGCAAAACAACATTTTGTCTGAGATAACTGATAATATATTTCTGAGAATGAGTATCATCAGTGGAGAATTGCCTTTAGTCTTCCTTGCTTAGTGCATCCTGAGAGCAATAAAAAGTCCAGTTGCTACGCTTAAAGGATGCTATATAGTGCACTATTTTTATCTAATATTTGTATACTTCAATGACAATTCTGTACCRTATCTTTCCAGAAAATAGCCCATTTTCATGAAGTATGTATTTTTAAATAAGGTGGGTTTTAACAACTGAATTCACATGCAGTTGTTATGGGTATCTTGTCTCTTAAACATACCAAAGGCTGTATGTAGTAGTAATCTCAGCAGTACTGTTACCTTCTTTCATCTGCTTGTTTATTCCTTCTTGGGAGTTTACCAGAGTATAAAAWGTCTACTCTGTAATTACTGTTTTATAGTGTTACAATTGTCTCTCCCTAATCCAATTTAATCTTCTCAAAGAAATTTTCTTTTCCTCCTCATCTCACTTTTACTTTTGTAAATCATTTTAGCAATGGGTTAATGGTGTAGAGTTTTAGGTAATATGCTAATAGTTGATATTTTGGAATAACAGAAGAGCATGTAAGGAGGCTAAAGCTAATTACAGTTACTTGTTATCCAAATATTAATAGTAAAATATAAAAGTTAACTTTATTTTGACATCTTTTCTTTCTCCACAGAAATGTGACCTTCAAGGAATAAGCAGTACTTGAGTAACTGAAACATTACCTTGTAACAAGGACTTGTTTTTTTAAATTATGAATGCTGTCTTGTATTCTACCTCTGTTTTCTTCAAATCAGTGATTACCTTTGAAACCTCTGAGAATGGATGAATAATCAAATTTGCAAAATTTTGCTTTCCCAGCTGGCAGGAGTGGCTGGCTTTTTGCTGACTGTGTGACAGGTTTTATATCAAGCCTTGCTAAGTTTTGTTACTATTTTGGAAACATAATAATTATAAGAAGGAAATGAGTACTTGATTTGACAATCTCTTGTCATTTCACTATTTTATGTGTTTGCTGATCTCATATCATTGTAGAAGTTTATTCATCTTAATGTGAGCTAACATAGAATAACATCCCCAATTGTCTTAAAAATGCTGAGCCAGTGTATGTTTTATATTCATGATGATTTCCTATGTTTGTGCTTCTAACAAGTGTTTACAGATTATTCTTTATGGTATATGAAAGTATTGATGATTTTGTGAATACATTTTATTTACTGTACCTTTTCTTAATACAAAATATATATCAGTTATTCTTTATTACTGCTTTTGTCAACTAAATAATCTTTTTAAAAACCTTTGTGTGATGTGGCATTTTAAATATCCCCATATTAAATAAAAAGTGAAAATATTTTAAAGATATATTGAAATACTTCAACTATTATAAAATTCTAAATTATTTTATGTTCAAGCTTTTGAATCGTATCTGGAGATATTTTTAAAATTTTGGTTTWAAAAGTTCAGAGCAATATCTGGAATCATTCACACAGTTAAGCTCAAGCTGTTGGAGAGGGCATTCAGAAATACCTGAAAATATTTGTATCACTTTAGGTTTCTGAGCCATGGAAGGAACTGTGTATTCATGGTGGGTGCATCCTACACATTTTATTTTCTAGATCTTTCATTTGCCAGTTACAGGAATGAGGAAGTTGTTGTCTCTTAACTGTTACTTACCTATGAATACTGTTTGTAATTAAGTCAGTAGTTTCCACTGATGATAATTGGTGTTAATTATTCAGGGTGATTTAGTAAGAAGGAGAAAATGCATGTTCTGCTCTTGATGTCTTCAGTAGTGACTTTTAAATATCCTATTCTGTAAATAAAGCCTTATCAATTGGATTTCTTTTTAAAGCAAGTGTTTACTTTATTGAAAAAAGTGTATTTCATCTTATTGAAAAAATGCATATTTTGACATTACAGTTAAACCTATAACCCTTCAATTAACAGTAATTCCTGTATTAATATATCAATTATGAAGAATTAGCATCTGATTGAACACAGGTGTTATAATAAAATTGTTATCATTTTGGTGACAAAAGCCTGTGCAGATTTCTAGTATTAGAGTATTACTAGGGTACTTCTTGCCTTTTTGTTACTATTATTTTATATGCATTTTTATAAGCAACTGGAGTAAAACAAAAGTAGTTTTTATACAACTTCGCTTTAAAATCAAGTATTTCAATTCATGAAGTAGAAAACAAGCACAAATTTATGAAAATTTAAATCTGTGGTCTACTGCATATGCTGTATGTATGAAACAAGCTTTTTGTGAGTTAAGGTGTTAATGTGGCTCTCCTGGATTCTGCTCCAAGAAGCTTCTGTGCTGTTCTCACCTTCCAGAAGATCAAAAGCACCTTCAGCTGTTGGGGCGTGGTCCTCAGCTGGGGTGAGTTGTAGAGGGAGTGTAGCAGAAATGAAATTATGATAAAACTCCATATATTCAAGTTGTCTGTCTTTTGTTATCTGCAGTGGGGGGCGGGGGAAACAGCTTTAGAGAAATAAAAAGGAGAAGCAATAATCATTGGGGCTGTTTTTCTACTAAACACTGAAAGTCTATTGTCAGAAGCAGAGGAATCTAGAGATAATAAAAYGACAGGTGTTTTCAGATTATTAAAACCTGAATTGCTCAATTAAGCACCATAATGTGTTTTTGAGAAATTCTTGGAATCAGTTGGTTTTTTTTTTTTT